AGAAAGAGCGACACGACTTGATGGGAAGCCTAAAAACGCAGTGTTTAGAAGAGGTCATGACCAAGTTGAGGGTTCATCAATGGTTTTCTCAGCGGTTCAATGGGTTCCATTTTTCCGAGAGGAGAATCGAGTTAGGGCTAGTTGTCTGAGAGCGGTTCAGCATTTTTCTCGGTCAGAACACCAGTTATACGCCGCTGGACTGCCGGGGTCACGCGTTTGGACCACATTCGCAACGATACCATCAGAAAGCGGTTCGGTGTGGCTCCCATCGCTGATAAGATGCGCGAAGCTCGCCTGAGGTGGTACGGTCACGTCCTTCGCGATGAGAGTGTCCGTAAGATCGGTCTAGACTTTAACGTGCCAGGAAAGCGGCCAAGAGGACGCCCGAAGCAACGATGGCTTGATACGTTGCATGAGGACTTGAAATTAGTTGGCCTCCACCCCGATCAGGCACATAATCGGGAAAAGTGGCGTCAACATATCAGAAAAGCGGACCCCGCCACAGGCGGGACAAACGCTAAAGAATAAGAAGAAGAAGAAGACTCAAACTGTTAGGTTGTCCCATAAGTACTGTCATTTTTATTCAGACGGAAAACTTTTTTCTGAAATTTTGCGCTTTTATACAAACCTGTACACCATACGAAAGACAATTGTCTGCTATACGAAAAGCATGTGTTCCGCTCTCAATTTGCAGTGTTTCGAAATTTCAGGCTTGCGAACTGAGAGGTCAAGCAAAAGAAAGTTGACCAAACTCCCCTAAGAAACTTAAACGTTTCGCCATTAGTTTGTGGGAGGCTTTGCCGTAGCGCATTCCCTTCGTTGTGAGTTAGGTAAAACTTCAGGCCTGAGTGGTTTATTCAGTCCACAAAAATGACCACATTGGTTTGAACAAAATTTACCTGGAGAAGATGAGAAAATCAACCAGGCGTACATTCCTAACTTAGTCATGACTTGTTCTTAAATTCCACTAGTTTTTCAATGTCTCGGCTATAAAAAAATTTCGGAGATCTCAGGTAATGGTGCTTGACCGTCGAGTTCTGGTTGAAAAACCAGGTCTGGAAAAGGAGCGACACGACTTGATGGGAAGCCTTAAAGCGGAGTGTTCATAAGTTCGACTAAGTTGAGGGTTCATCATTGGTTTTCTCAATGGCTTCAATGGGTTCATTTTTCCTAAGAGGAAAATCGAGCTATGGCTATTTGTCGGTTTAGCTATTTTTCTTCGGCTAGAACTCCCGTTCTGCAGGCCTAAAATTCGAAAACCCTGCAGCAGAGCAGATAATTCTCTTTTGAATGGTACATAGGTGATATAAAAACGCAGAATTTTAGAAGAAAATTTTCTATTTAAAAAGAAACGACACTGCTTATGGGACAACCTAATACGTTATTGGTGAGACAACTAGTAAGGGGCATGACACAGCTTCTCCGTCATTCCGATACATGCCGTTACATTACCATGCTAACCATAAGCTTGAAACAACACCCCCAAATCAAATTCGTGGGGTCACAACAGTCGATAATGTAGTTGTGGATGCCGAATTGAAAAAAGCAAAGCAAAGAAAATCGTCGATGAGCCATTGACAGTTATCCCTTCTCTTCCTTCTTGAGATAAGTGAGAACGGGGCCGGATGACTTTTCTGAGCCTGCATGCGCTACGGCTTCATTAACCCGGTACTTGAGTTAGCCGCTACGCCGTAATCCACGCTGCGCATCATAGTGTGTGTATTTCGTACATAAGATTAGTCGCCACAGATTCACTTTGTAAAGCCCCAGCGTTATTGTCGCGCTCTTCCAAGACGTAAATTCACATCTGTAATACTTGAGGGCTACTCTATCCCACCTGTTTAACAGATTCTTGTCACGACCTTTGCTTTGGTTTTTTTAAGATTCGCGAAGCTGAAGAAGTTCATGAGTGCACTTGTAATCGAACAATCATTTCAAGGTTCTTGTCGGGACTTCTAGCAACATTTACAGCTAGAATGAAGAGAGCTACTCTGGATCAAAGAACGTTACCTTCAAAGAAAGCCGTGGGAACCTCAAAAGTCTCGACCCCGCAAATGAACGAAAAAACTACGGTGCCAGTGAAGAGTACAGATATTTCGACAGCTACTACTAATATGGAGCCTTCGAAGGTAGAAACAAGCTCAACGAGCACTTCATCTACGACTACAATGGAGCCCGAGCCATCTGAAGTTCACGATTCTGAAATAGATGAAAAGCACATGGGGTAAGCTTAAAGTGGCTTTTCATTGGCTTAGTTTTTTTGCAGAAGGGTGAGAATCAATTAAATAAAGGCAAAGTCGGATAACTGTAGCGCATTACCGCGCTTACAGCTTCGAGAAGGCAGGGTTAAACCGTAAACAGGGACAGAATTGAAGTCCTCCTGTCCACCACAGGCGAACGATTTCGGGCTAAGTCTATGGTGGTAGGCGGCGCGCATGATAAGCCCTTGGGCCTTATTGTTAGCGCCTAATCCTATGATTGTTTTACTAACAATAAGAGGGTACACGCCCCTGAGTTTTTCTCTATATTTCTCGCGCGAGAGCTTCATTTCGTCCAAAAATTCCGCAATCTGCCTTTGAACAAATTCTTCTACCGACGAGACCGTTCTGCTGCCAATAAAAAGCTTGTGCATGCAAAGGCAGATAGCATCGCGGAACATTCATGCAAATGTTTCATTTCAAGCAAATGAGTTTCTTATGGACTGCTGTCGCTTCGTATTCAGGCAGGGTGGAGGAGATGACTACAGACAAGCAAGACCCAGTCGTCACAGAATAACCCGCCCTCCTCCGATGAACAAGGAAGACACTGATGGTAACATATAGTAAGTGCTCCTCAAATTGTAAAGCTTAGCCGGTGCTTGTAAAGCATGGACACTTTGCAGTTAGTATCCCATGCTGTCGATTGCCATAGTGATTATCTATGTACGTACATATGCGAGACCCATAATTTGCTGTTGGTTAGAGGAGGAGGCAGAGGTGATAGAGTGAAAGTGGCTCTTTGGGAAACCAGAAAAAGAGCAACTTCTACCATCTTGCGACTGAAGGCGAACCCCGGAAGCTCATCTCATGTGGCACATATTGCTGCGACTAGTGTAGGCGCTCCAAAACACGCTTTCGTGATCCCAGTCCAATCCCAAGCTCGATTTAACGTCTCTAGGTCTAACGTATTCCAGCCAAAATTCTACAGATGCCAAGTTGTTGCTGGAAGCGAAAGCTAACACACGAAACACATCGATACCATGGTTTTGAAGAAGTCGTAGTCTAAGGGTTGAACCAGTAGAGGCGCAAGACGCAGCGGGGGAGACAGTCGCCGCTGCAGCGCGCGGCGTTTTTGCATCCGTCATGGCGAGGCGAGAAATTCTTGTGCCAGGGGAGTATAGCCAATTCAAAGGGCTAGTCATTTGGTATGCGGAGCTGGAATGTGGGAGTTTACACTACTTCGCTGAGTGTGTCAAGTGTCACAGCGGCAACTGCCCCCCCCCCTCTAACCCTCGAGCCATCGCGTTCGGCACAGTGATTAGTTTTTAGCTTGATTATCGGGATTGTTGTTGGAATCGTGTTGCTGATGTTGGTAATCATTTCCGCTGCCATAGTGTTTGCAGTGCACCGCTATCGCAAAGGTGTGTTCAAACTCCAAGTTTCAAGGTGCTTTCTGTGTATAAAGAAACCAATTTTCAGGCAAAGTGCATGTAGAAAAGGGTCCACAACTTGTGAGTGCCAACATTTTTGTTCAATGTCGTACCGATAACCTTTGCAGATAAATGCCGTCCAAGATTGGGCAACGTTATTGGGCTAACATTTTTCTTCGCCTTCGTCTGAGAAGTGAACATCAAAAAAAGAGGGGCTTGCCCTTTCTAGCACTTCCACGATACTGAAGACGATTTCTGTAGCTTTATAAACCACCTAACTATATCAATCGACAAATATATATAACCTTCATCAACGCCGCCGTGACGCGACGGCGACCACCTATGAGAGGCAGCTTGGGTTCACTTAGCACCAGCTCCATGCACTCGACCTCAACCTGAAAACCCACCGGGTTGGAGATGGGCGCGAGCTGTGTAGATGTGAGGCAGGCAATGTCTAAACACATTCCCTTTCCATCGAATTGTGGTCTTTCACCGAAACTAAAAACGTCTCGAGGGTTTTTCGCGCCGCGTTCTCGAGCTCATGTGTCAGAATGGACACTGTGATTTCAAAATCAGCATCCCCATGATATTGAATGCGCTCAACTATAACGTGTCTGTTTGCGATATTCGCACACCGTCCGAGTGCTTCTCCACGCCTACATACGGAAGAGCCTGTTTGCCTATGTAAGCGCTGGTGGGCAAGGCATTGAATAGATCACCTCTGCCATAACGTAATTGCCACGCTTTCCAAATGGGCAAGCCGCGTAAACAAGGGTGTCGCATAGGTGTAAATCCTACTGGGAACTGGAGGACGTTTGAAATTTCTAGGGATATCTTGACAGGCTTGGCGTCCTCTTACAGACTACAATTATGGAGATTCGTTTAAACGAATACCTACGCGACCTCCCGGACGGCTACATTCACGCACTCGTTTGCTTAAACTATGCCAAAAAAGTCAGAAAAAAGTCGTCAGAAAAAGTTGATCTTGGGCGAACTGTTTCGAACATGCTGTTCCTGTTCTCGATCCATTCGCTTCGTAGCGAGAAGCTGCCGCAGGTTGTGCGGAATGGGAGGCAATGGGGACACGCAGCGAAGCAGAACGCATCTAGATCTGAGCGGTGGGTGGAGTGCTGCTTTATTAATCGGCTGCTGATCTATAGTGTGATTTCATCTCAAAAAGAATGAAACCACAATAACACAGAGAAGAAGGGAAGGAGTTTCTGCATGTGGCCTATTTTTTGTTAGATAAGAAAGAGTGAAATCAAACATATCTCGGGTGGTCAGTACTAGGACCCATGGTCTGGACATCAATGACTTCTATCGTCCCGGGTTGGACAAATGCAGCCATAGCTAGAGGGAGTGAAAACACGGTGATCATCTAGCAGAGCATTTTTGGTTAGAATACTTGAATAGGCGTAATCAATAACTTGCCTAAACTTCCCTATATTCATAAGCTCGAAACCTCACCAAGCGAATTCCATATTTTCGCTGTTTTTTTTTCGCATTGCCACCGCGACTAGGGCGTTCCCTCTCACCATAAGTACGTACTTCAGGCTAAGAAGCCACGGAAGATGGAGGCCGCGGAAATTGGCGCTACGAAATTCACGCATGCTGGCGCGTTAGTTCTTGATCCGAATTTGAAAGGACCCGTGGTGAGTTCGAAGAATTCAGCACTATTAATCATAACGACAACCAACTTAATCAGAATAAGAATCGCCATATCAATGAGTCAAGAGGTTATGATGAACGCCCATGTCAGCCGATATCATTACCTCAATGCTCTCCTAGACGCGCCCAGAATCCAGATTACAAGTGCTGAAAATGCATTTTTGTTGCAACCACGTGGGACGTACGCCGACACATGGCACAGGAAAAACGCTCAACCACCTGGAACTGACAAATTTGAGCAGCCTGAAAGAAGTGCCTTCCCGGAGGTGTCACCTGACCTCAACAATGGGCCATATGCTACACTTCCCCATGCTAGGTGATCCACACCTTCCTTTAAACTTATTTGTTCTGAACGATATAGTTTCGACATAGATATAGATATATTATATTAGGTTGTCTCAAAAGTTCGTGAATATTTTGAACTTTTTCTTTGAGCTTACTCCATTCCAAGTGCATGCATTATACAGGGGTGGCCA